GGATGATACGGTAAGTCTATTTTCAGTCTTGAGGAATCTCCATACTGTTTTCCATAATGGCTGCACCGAACTACATTCCCACCACCAGTTTTCTCCACATCCTCTCCAGTATTTATTGTTCGTGGACTTCTGAATGATGGCCATTCTGACTGGTAGGTGATACCTCATTGTAGTTTTGATATGCATTTCTCTGATAATTAGCAATACTGAGCATTTTTTCATGTGCCCATTTGGCCATTTATATGTCTTCACTGGAGAATTGCTTGTTTAGGTCTTCTGCCCATTTTTGGATTGGTTTTGTTTTTTTCTTACTAACTTTTATGAGCTGTTTATATATCCTGGAAATTAAACCCTTGTCAGTTGTGTCTTTGGCAAATATTTTCTCCCATTCTGTAGGTTGTCTTTTTGTTTTATGTATGGTTTCCCTTGCTGTGCAAAAGCTTGTAAGTTTAATTAGGTCCCATTTGTCTGTCTTTGGTCTTACTTCTATTGCGTGGGTAGAGTGCCCTAGGAGAACATTGCTGAGATTTATCATTCCTTTTTAAGCATGAATAATATTCTACATTTGTTTATCTGATTACCAGTTGAGGGATATTTGGGTGGTTTCCACTTTTTGACTGGCATGAATAACATTACTACGAAAATTAATTAATGCATAAATATGTGTGGGCATATGTTTTCAGTTCTCTATAATAGTGGGAATGGTGGGTAGTATAGTATGATAACTGGTTAATTTTTTGAGGAAATGCCTGTAGAGTACACGTGTTTTGTTTGTTCATTTAATTTTCACTAGCTGTGGAGGAGGGTTCCAATTTGTACTGTCAACACTTGTTACTGTATTTTTACTTATAGCCACCTGAATTATGTATGAAGTGATACCTCATTATGGCTTAGATTTACATTTCCCTGATGGCTAATGTCTTTTCATATGATTTTTAACCATTTGTATCTCTTCAGAGAAAAGTGTGCATTCACATTCCTTGGGTCATTTATCTTTGTATTGTTGACCTGCAAGTGTTCTTTGCATATTTTGGATAGTAGGCCTTTGTCAGATACATGATTGGCAAATATTTTCTCATTCTGAGGTCTTTTCACTCTCATGATACTGTCTTAAGGTGTAAAATTTCATTTTGGGGAAATCCAGTTTTTCCTTTGGTTGCTTATACTTTTGGATGTCAACTAAAACAATGCAAAATGAACCTTATGAAGATTTATGTCTATGTTTTCTTCTGAGTTTTATAGTTTTAGCACCTACATTTAGGTCTTTGATCCATTTTGAGTTAATTTTTGTATATGGTATGAAATGAGGAGTCTTAACTTTTTTTGTATGTGAATATTCAGTTGTCCCAGCACTTTTTACTGAAACGTTTTTTGTCCCCAACAAATTTTAAAAAAATCAGTTGACTGTGTATGTATGGGTTTGTTTCTGGAGTGTCAGTTGTATTTCAGTGATTATGTCTTTCGTTAATGCCAGTACTGCAGTATCTTGATTACTGTTGCTGCTTTGTAAGAAGTTTTGAGAAGGTGAGTCTGAAGTTTTTTTCAGGACCATTTTGGCTATTCTGAGTCCCTTGCATTTCCACATGAATTTTAGGATCAGCTTGTCAGTTTCTGTACACAGACACAAAAGGCAGTTGGGATTTTATAGGGATTCTGATATCCACTTGGAGAATATTGCCATCTTAGTATGCCTTCCTGTCCATGAATGTGGGGTGCCTTCCAGATACTCACGTCTTCAGTTTCTTTCAGTAGTGCTTTACAGGTTCTTTCATCGTTAAGCTTTAAGTATTTTATTCTTCTTGGTAACTGTTACAAATAGATTGTTTATTTTTGGATTGTTCCGTGTTAGTATATAGAAATACGATTACTGGGTCCTACAACACTGCTGAATTCATTTATTTACTACAGTAGTAGTATTGTGTGGATTCCTTAGGATTTTCTATATAGAAGGCCATGTTGTCTACGACATTTATTGAAACTAATAATATCTTAAAAAGGTGCTAGACTTTGTCAGCTTCTGCATCTGTTTGAGATTATTATCCTTTATTCTAGTAATATGTATGGTGTCAGACAATGTTTTTTTTTTTTAGTTGTTAAACCAAATTGCATTCCTGGGTTAAACCCCATTTGGTCAGGGTGTAGGGCCAAACTTGGAAAAAATAATTTATCAACATGTTGGTTACATTTTTAACAATCAAAGAAGCAGTAGTATCAAAAAATGCACTGATTCACTTCAAAAATGCCTAAAAAACTTTTTTCAAATAAAAACAGACATGCATTTTGGCTTTATTGGCCCTAAAAGAAGGCAAAGTTTATTAGAAGTAAAAGTTGTTCAGCTGCTTCACTTGGACTGAAGTGTCCAGAGGGAATTTGCTCAGAAAGGTAAGTAACTGGCACAGAGCTCTTGGAGCTCACAGGTGAGTACTCTGTTTTAGGCAGTGGTGTGGCCCTTCCCTGGTGTGGAGATTGGAATGAGCACTGGGTCACTCTCTGGCTGAAAGACAGTTTTTTCTTCCTCCTTCCTATCCCCCAGTAAAAGAACATCCTCCTTTTTTTTAGCCCTTCAGTGATTTTCCTTGCCATTGGAGATGATAAAATTGCAAATATGCAGAAGCTTAACATTTTACCAAGTGAGTAGGCCATTAATTTCAGTGAAGTTCAGATACACAATTACATTCCACAGTAAGATAGACTCCAGTTGAGCCATGCTGAGTTCTCTGCTCACATGACCCATTAAAATAGCTGATACACCTCCCTGAGCCACCTAGGTCTTAACAGCCTTTTTTTTTGGAAGGCCCCATAGACTTAAAATAACTTCAGATATGGGGATACAGGAGAATATAAATAAAGAGCTGTTTCTTTGTTAAAGATACTAACTAGTATGCTTAAAAGTTTATTTCAGTAATTTTGTAAGGCAATAGTTAATCCTCACCAAACGAGTGAAAAGAATGAACAGATGTAGTAATTCTTCCTACAGCTTCCTGAGTCAGCAGGCTGGCTTATGGCTCCCTCAGTGGTAACGTTTTGGGAATCCTGTCATGCTTAGGTCAGACACAGTGTACATTTTAAGAAAGAATTTCTTCAAAATCACATTCCTTCACACTTTACCTGAATGTGCAGAACTGTGCTTAACTACCTTTAAATCCTGTAGGAAATAATGCAATTGTTAGAATTTGAAAAGACCCTTTTAGAAATGAGTAGTTAATCAAATAATCAGGTACTCTAACTTCTTTAATCTCAGGTACTACTCATCTGACAGTGTGCTTATTAACAGAATCATGAATATGTGTAATTAACCATTTCTGGCATTAATCTCCCAGAATGCTAAGCATCCTGCTACTGACTTTGTACAATATCAAACCTTTATAATGCCAAAGAAAACCAAAAGAGAATTGTTCACACAGGAAAATAACCCAAAGGCAAAAAAGAAAACCGTGATTACTGAAAAGGAGTAATGATATCCTTCCCAAAGGAAAAAAAAATCATAGGGACCTGTTTGTTTCTCATATAATGTCCTTCCTCGACACTTCGGAGTTTGCTTTCTTTTCTCTATAAATAATTTCCAGTAATCTTTTGCAGATTAATCACGGGAACAGAAAATAGGCCTGTATTTTGAAATTAATTTAGATATTACTGTTTGTTTTTCTCAACAACTGTGATTCTGTACAAGCTGTAAACATGGCAGAGCTTTTGTGTACCACTTGACACTCGAGACTAGTGATACAGTTGACTCTGGAGCAACAGGGGTTTGAACAGTGCAGGTTCAATTATACATGGATTTTTTTTTTCTTTAAATGAGTATTACAGTACTTACAACCAGGAATGTGGACTCTCGGACACAGAGGCCCAACTGTAAAGTAATACACAGAGTTTCAACTGCAGGGGTTGGCAATTGTGAACCCTGTGTTCAAGAGGTCAACTGCATATGGTTCCTACAGTGTCCATGCATGTGACAGCCCAAATGTTATTCAGCTGTGGCTGCAGCCCTGCTGTCTGTGGGTCCAGTCAATTTTTAAGTTGTAAATTAGGCAGGCAACTTGAGCATGATTAAGAGAGCGTACTGTATACATCGCATTTTAAGAAGTATTTTCTTCTACGACGCACACTTACTATGCTCTTTGTGCTTGGGCAGATCTGAGTGGCACTTGGATGTGCCCACTTCTGTTTTGTTTTACTATAGCTTTTCTTTAGTATGTTTTGGGGGTGGGCCTATACTTGCTAAACTCAAAATTTGTCCAACTTTTTACATTTTTCAATGGAAAAAAGCTAGCAGAATTTACCACTGCTCAAGCCAAGAAGCCATGAGAGGCACTGCTATGCTACACTGCCATCTTCTTCAGCATGAAAAGCACCTCCAGATCCCAGGGCTGCCATCATGCAGGCTTTGAACACCAACAACTTAAAGGACAGTTACAGGAGGACATTCCAGTACAAGCCACAGCCTCAAGTCTCAGGAAAGCAAGCTCTACTGGACATAGGAAGTTACTGAGAAACTGAAGTTCAACTAGCTGGAAAACAGACAAAAATAAGGACCTAGTTCATCAATTAAATTATACCCTAAAGGATTAACTTTGGACAACAGAAGACTGCTACAAAATGAAGAGAATAAATATAAAATGCCCGGCCACTCCACGCCCTTCTCTTCTCCCATCTCAGAATAAGCCACCATGGCAACTCAGTGCTCTGAGGAAAGAAGTTAAGGTCATAAAACTTGCAAAAACAACAGTCTAAACCAAAAGACACTGAAGCTCCAGAGGAAAAGGTAACTAGACAAATGGTCCTTTGCTCAAGGTGGAACGTGTGGAAAGGGGAACAGGCTTTGAAAGCAACCTCGGAGAAGCAATGCAGTAGTGGATCTCAGTGACGACTTGTCAAAACAGGAGTCACCAACCCAACGCAGGTTCCGCGCTGGGACCAGGGCTCCAGAGATGCAAAGCACACTCCAGACGCTGCCTGAAGCAGCACAGGCCCAGGGGTTCTTCCCGTCCTTACACAGTCGCTTTCTAATGACCTACAGAGGTAGTAGGTCTCAAGGGGAGTCATTACCTCCGTGAATATTTTACCTACTGTCCCTGACACAACAAATGGTCTTGGGCTTTAGTTAGAAATGTCATTTGTATCATTAACAGTGGACTTATAGTACCTTCTACACCTTTCATGATCTTAAGAGGACGACTATTAAAGTGGTCTGTTGGCTTTTGTCCCTAAGGTCATATAAAATGTGTATAGTGGCCATACCCACATGTGCTTTTAAGTGCTAGAAAACTGGTATTTTCAGGTGCCAAACAGGCCATGCACACCACCCCACAGTGCAACCACGATAGTGCTTAGCCCTGAAGAGTGTTCGTCCACAAAGCTCTTTGAACACATGCTCATTAAAATTCACTGACTTACATACAAACATCCGTAAGGAGAAACCGTGCCACATGGAGTATTAGAGCTCATCCACAGGATTAAAACACAAAGAGATTGTAGGTGCACACCCAGGCAGAGGGAAATGTCCAATCTGGGAACTTCTCTTTCAGAGCATCCAGCTGGGAGGATCTCTTGTCTTCCCCAGAAAAATAGTGGGCAGCAATGGCCACAGTGACCATTCCTTCTGGCTGTTCTTCCAAGACCTGGAGGAGAAAGTCAGTTCTTTGTTCTATGAAGGTAGAATACTGACTGATCCCAGGGTTCTTGCCAAATACCACCTGGGAACCTGATCAGTGATCCCAGCAATACTGGTAAATTCCTACCTGTACTTCTATCCAGAACTGCCATGCGGAGGCCTGGAGTCCATGGGAATAAAATACAAAGTAGTCCCCTCCTTTACTTGTGACTGGGGTACCATTGCCAAGAGACCACTGAGAAAGTGTGGACCCTTTGTGGGTTCGAACATAGAACGACATATGGCTTGGTCCTGTAGGATAAAAGGAAAGAACAGTTTAAAAAACCTTCTTAAAAGCAACAAGAAAGAAACCCACCACCCAAATCAGACTGGGAGGTTCATGCTTTACATCACTTTAGAGACACTCAGTACAAACCTACCAGAGGTCTGCCAGGGTGGACATTAATTGTGTATCAACAAGGGTAAGTAATGAGGTGAAGCAGAAAAGGAAGAGAATTTACAAGGAGAAAATCTGTGTTTAAATCCTGGCCCTTAAAATGCACAAGAACCTAGCACTCAGGAGCCCTTCTTCAGAAATCTAGAGAATAAGCTTATCTAACCAGGAGGTAACTGCAAAAACTGTAGCAAAAGAACTGACAGTATTTTAATATATCCACATACATTATTAAGATAAACCAGTACTTACTGAGGTGAGGGTAAAAGACTAATGTACAACTGTTGCATGTAACAAACTCTGAGGAATGGGGGAAGCAGATAAACTGTTGTATAAGCTGACAGAGTTAGTTAAAGAATGCCATTAAAAATTGGGCACATAGATAGTAAAAGGTTTAAGTAAGAAGCAAAACAAAAATATAAACAAGTGCCAGAAAGTATTTTTTTAAAAAGGAAAGATGACACCATAGAAAAAGGAATATAGCAAATAAAATTGTGTTTTAAGATATTGTGACAAAATTGAGACCCAAAGTATCAGTAATAAAAGTAAATGTGAGTAGACCTAACCCAGCTGCTAAGAATAAAATTTTCCTTTGGCTTATGAAGCCAGACCTAATCATACATACTGCATTCCAAATAACATAATTAAAAGAGACTCAGAAAGGGTAAAAATAAAGGTAAGACAAAGGCTATTTCAGGAAAGCAGACAGTTTTTTAAAAGACAAGGAAATATGACAGATAAAAGCAGAAATCAATGAAATAGAGAACAAAGCAAAACGAACCTAATAACAGGTTTTTGACTTTTTTTTTTTAAATTAACAAAACCACCACTAGCTAACCTGACCAAAAAGCAGGGGGACAGGAGAGTAGAGCAGAGAAGACACAGATAATACACAGAGAAGAAAAGTAGCAAGAAATTTTACAAAATCACACATGACCACTCTGCAGACCTCTATACTACTAAGTCTGAAAACCCAAATGAAATGGATACTTCTCTAGGAAAATACAGATTGTCAAAAACTGAACACAGATATAAAGCTAAAGCAGGCCAATTTTCCTAGAAAAAGGACCAGGCCCAGGTGGTTTCAGAGGAGCCGAAACCCAACTTTCAAACAAACAGTTCTTATTCCAAGAAACTGAAAATGAAGGAAAACTTACCGTTCTTGTGATTTTTTTTTTAAATTGAAGTATAGTGTAGTTGGATCACAAGGTGTTAATTTCTGGTGTACAGCATAGTGATTCAGTTATACATCTATATTTCATATTTTTCATTATATGCTATTTTATGATGGGTAATGTTTGTAATGTATACCTAGATCTCAGAGTACTCAAAAAATCCAAACTACATGGACTATGAATACTGATGCAGAATTTCTAAATAAAATATCACCAAATAAATCCAACATCACATTAAGAAAGCAATAGGCCATGACCTAGTAGAATATGCCATTTATTAAAACTGGAAGAAAAATCCTGTGATTATTTTTACAGATGCTAAAAAAGCCTTTCACAAAATTAAAACCTATTCCTTTTAAAAATATTCAAGGCGTGACAACTGATGAATGCTTCCTTAACACAATAAATACATACCTTAGGCCTAAAGTTGTGGGAAAACACTGGAGACCTTGGTACTAATAGCAAGAACAAGGCAAGGATGCTCACCATCTCCACCACTGTTCCACCCTATGCTAGAAGCATTAGCCATTTAGACAAATTAGAGGCATAAAAATTGGTAAAGAAAAGTTAAATATTTGCAGATGATATCCAGTAGTCAACAAGCTATACCTGAGATCGATTTTTGGATGGCTCTCCGGCTAAGAATGGCTTTTATGTTTCTAAAAAGTGGTTAACAAAAAAGAAAAAAATTTACCACAAAGACATGGTGTAAAGCCCCAAATACTTACTATCTGGTCTTTAAAGTTTGGCAATTACTGGTATACCTGGAGAGTGCTAGAGTATCAATGATTAACTCAAAGGGAGGGGGGGATTCAATACGGTAGCAAGATAGAAAACTGACATACATAAGTCAACCACCTTCTTACATAAAAAATATAGCCAGAGGACTTAACAGTAGAGAAAACCTCCTTTATAATAGCAACAAAACCTTTGTAACACTCCTAAAAGACAAAATTAAATGAACAAAAGCAAAGACATTAATTACCAAGTCATGGATAGGGTGACAACATTATAATGTCCATTCTCCTTAATTTATAAATTTATTAAGATACTTCCCAAAATACCAATTAGCAACAGGTACTATATTAGAGTTAGACAATAACTAAAGTTCTAAAACTTCAGAAAAATAAGCATGCAAAAAATAGCAATGAAAATCCTGAAAAACAAAAACTACGAAGGATCTTAATTCTCCCAATCTTTAAATTATAAAGCTTCTGTAATTAAAAGTGTGGTAGCTGGTGCACAAACAGACCTGCACACATACAAATAATTTTTTTCTAATTTCTTGACATCTGTAATCACAAAACACAGGGCAGTAGATGTGCAACTTGCCTGCCAGGAACCTGACCTAAGTAGAACAAAAAAGCCTTTTAATGGAGTAGAAATTAAGGAAAATGAAACAGAAAATCAATAGATAAAA